CAGCTCTTCAGCTCAAGGCGAGCGCTCTACCACTTGAGCTACAGCGCCACTTCCGGTTTTCTGGTGGTTTATTGGAGATAGGAGTCTCACTGTCTTTCCTGCCCGTGCTGGCTTTGAACCACGATCCTCAGATCTCAGCCTCCTGAGTAGCTAGGATTACAGGCGTGAGCCACCAGCGCCCGGCTTCAATTCATTCATTTTTGAGATAGGGTCTCTTTATTAGCCTAGAGTGCTGTTGAAGCTCAGACTTTTTTTTTTTTTTGGGGGGGGGGGTCCAATCATGGGCCTGAACTCTGGGCCTGGCTGTAATCCTTTTTTTTTTTGTCGGTCATGGGGCTTGAACTCTGGGCCTAGGCGCTGTCCCTCAGCTCTTCAGCTCAAGGCTAGCACTCTACCACTTGAGCCACAGCACCACTTCCAGCTTTTTTCTTTTTGCTTATGTGGTTCTGAGGAATCAAAACCAGGGCCTCAGGCATGCAAGGCAAGTGCTCTACCACAGAGACACCTTCCCAGCCCTGCAGCTCAGACTCTTGAGTAGCTAAGATCATACGTGTGAGCCACTAGTATCCAGTTTGTAAATTACTACTGAGCAACATACTGAACTTCCTGCTATTTTTCTCATGAGATCAAGAAGATAATTTAGGATTACAGAGAAGAGCTGGGCGCTGGTGACGCCTGTAATCCTAGCTACTCAGGAGGCTGAGATCTGAGGATGAGGTTCAAAGCCAGCCTGGGCAGGAAAGACTGTGAGACTCCTATCTCCAATAAACCACCATCAAACCGGAAGTGGCGCTGTAGCTCAAGTGGTAGAGCGCTTGCCTTGAGCTGAAGAGCTGAGGGACAGCGCCTAGGCCCACAGTTCAAGCCCCATGACCGACCAAAAAAAAAAAAAAAAAGGATTACAGAGAAAAGCAATCCTATCTGTTATTTTTTTTCAATCTTGGATTATTGTTATAATAATTAAGATAATCCACATCATAAGCAAATACATAAAATCCTATATTATGCCTTTTTTTTTTTGACAGTCCTGGGCTTGAACTCAGGGCCTGAGCACTGTTCCTGAGCTTTTTTTGCTTAAGGCTAGCACTCTACCACTTGAGCCAAAGCACCACTACCAGCTTTTTCTGTTGATTTGGTACTGAGGAATTGAACCTTGGGCTTCATGCACACTAGGTAAGCACTCTACCACTAAGCCACATTCTCAGCCCTATTATGCCATTTTTTTAACCATCAGTTACTAGCCTACTAAATCTGCCAAATTTCAAAAGATGAACAGAACTCCCCATGAACAAAACATTTACTAAAATAATCTCAGTAGTTAAAAAGAAAAGAGAAACAATATATTTTTTAAAAAAATCATACAGAGGGGCAGGGAAGGTGGCTCAGTGGTAGAGCGCTTGCCTTGCATGCATGAGGCCCTGGGTTTG